AGTGTTCTTGCTTCTAGTAGCGATGCCCTTTGTTACTAGTAGCTTCTCGTTCCCAGTAGAAAGGCCAAGAGCTACTAGTAGTGTCCTTGCTTCTAGTAGCGATGCCCTTTGTTACTAGTAGCTTCTTGTTCCTAGTAGTAAGGCCAGGAGCTACTAGTAGTGTCCTTGCTTCTAGTAGATGCCCTTTGTTACTAGTAGCTTCTTGTTCCCAGTAGTAAGGCCAGGAGCTACTAGTAGTGTCCTTGCTTCTAGTAGCGACGCCCTTTGTTACTAGTAGCTTCTTGTTCCTAGTAGTAAGGCCAGGAGCTACTAGTAGCGTCCTTGCTACTAAGGCGATGCCCTTTGTTCCTGGCACCTTCGTGTTCCTAGTAGTAAGGACATAGTAGCTTCTTGTTCCTAGTAGTACGGCCAGGAGCTACTGGTAGCGGCCTTGCTACTAGTGGCGATGCCCTTTGTTACTAGTAGCGTCTTATTCCTAGTAGTACGGCCAGGAGCTACTGGTAGCGGCCTTGCTACTAGTGGCGATGCCCTTTGTTACTAGTAGCGTCTTATTCCTAGTAGTAGGGCCAGGAGCTACTGGTAGCGGCCTTGCTACTAGTGGCGATGCCCTTTGTTACTAGTAGCGTTTTATTCCTAGTAGTAGGGCCAGGAGCTACTAGTAGCGTCCTTGCTACTAGTGGCGATGCCCTTTGTTACTAGTCGCGTCATCCCCACCCCCATGAAGGGGGGGGGACCTTTTTATTGTAACTTGCATTTTCCATAGGTTGGCCACCCAAAAATGTAACGTTACATTTTCGGGGTGTAGACCTTTTTATTGTAAGTTACATTTTTTGGCTGGCGTGTACCCAGGAAATGCACCAGAAGAACCAGTGAAGTTACATTTATCTAAGAAAATGTAAGTTACTATTTGGGATGTGTGGAAACGCATGCACAGACACAATGTGAGCTAAGCATGCACTGAAAACTACTGCAAATAGCAGCAAATATCAGCAAATGACACTAAACACGTCTCTTTTCCTGCAGGCGCGACCCCGGTCCCTTCAAGCGTCTGCTAAAGCCATTGCTCTATGTTCTGAAGACCATCTCTGGTCACTCCATGGAACAGTTCCATGTCATTTCCCAATTAATCTGCTGGCGCAGGTCCTCCAACAGGAACCTCCAGCAACACTGGCGGGATCAAGTGAATTACTTGCCGGATGAAACTCTTCAACTCCATCAGGCCAATGTCTTGGCCTGACTTGTTCTTGCCACGTCCTGGTACAAAGCTCGCACTGCTATGTGGCGAATAGAAAGAACACACAAACACATCTAAGTTACATTTTCGACATGGAAATCCTGGAAACAAAATCAAACATAAGGTTGGAAATGGTTGTAAAAGTCGGAAATATTCGGAAATCAAATCTGCCGGAAAGCTGGGCCAACTTGTGGTACACACCGTTGGAGAAGTTCTTCTTGTCCTTCCCATCCATGATGGTATCAAACCACAGGCAAGACCTGGTGCAAATGCTATCCCAAGTGTGCAAGGAGCCGCCAACTTTGAAGAGTCCGTCCGCATTGAGGAGATTCAGCGGGCCATACACTTCTGGCAAACGCTTCAAGAACAGCTTGATGTTCTTGGAGCCAGCTGGTCCCTTCGGGAAGCTTCCCATATCAAAACCATCATATGAGATGGGTTCATGGGCCTTTGGTACCTGAGACTTCTTTGCAGTCTGAACGGAAAAGATCTCGCTGGCAGTCGTTTTGCCATCTTGGATGTCCCTGACCTTCTTCATGGTGGCTTCCGAGAAGTTGAAGAACATCTTGCCATGCTTTTCGCCATACTCTGCAAACGGAACTTCGCAAACAACACACTCTGACGGAACCAGCAACGAAGGAGTGGAGATGACTGAAACAGCAAAGTTGCCCCCTGCATCGTCAATCTTCTCAAGCTTCAACACAAGCACCCTCGCAACTGCATCAACTGGTGCGTTGATGCCCAAAGTCACAGACATCTTCAGCCTCCTTGGTGTCGAAGCTGCCTTGGAAACTGACCCGCGAAACACACTGAACACCACGCCCAACTCGTATGTGATGATGCCGCCATCATTCTTCTCCTGAAAGAGAAGAACTTGCTGATGATCACTGCAAATTGGACGCATCACGGAGCTGGGCAGCAAAGACCCCTCAGCATCTTCCTTGGACGCACCCTTGTCCTTGCTATTCAGAAATGTTTCCTGTGCTGACATCCACCCGAACATTCGTGAGCTACGGGCAGCTGTGAACTTTTGAAACTGCCGAGCACGATGCAGCTCAGATACAAGGATATTGTGGAGGTTTTCATTCGCTCGCACATTGCCCTCAACCTGTGTCTTGGACCTGATGCACAAAAGGTTGAACTGCTCAGGAAACACACACAAAAATGTAAGCTGGCAAACTACCTCAAACAGAAAGTGTGGCCATATGTTGCAATCAGATGCAATATGATGCAACCACTGTAGCAAATGCTAGAAAAATGGCCTCAAATAGCAACAAGGCCTTCCGCACGCTTCTAATTTTGAGGGTTGGCATATGCTCGTGCACAAAATGTAAGCTGGGAATGTCGTGTAAGCAAAACAGTGGAAGAGAACCAAAGTTTAAAGCTAATCTACATCTACCAAAAGTGAACTTTCTTTGCAACCTCTCTCTCATCCTTTGTAGGGCCATCTCCTTCTTACTATAAATATCTTACTATTTCTTACTGACCCCCGACCTGCAAAGAAAACCACTGTGGTGCGACTCTTTCCACACCCCAAGAAGCACAGCTTACATTATCTTACATTTTCTCTGCTGCGTGTTTCTGAGCTGACCCCCAACCTGTGTGCAAAGAAAACCACTGTGGTGCGACGCTTTCCACACCCCCAGAAGCGCAGCTTACATTATCTTACATTTTCTCTGCTGCATGTTTCTGAGCATGCAAAGCAGAGCGGTGAGCAAGAACTGAGTTTCTGACAGCAATCCTTCAGCCAAGCGAACCTTCTTGACAAAGGTTGTCAAAGGGGGAAAAAGCTTTTCAAGCCGATAGATGCAGGCATTCTTGCCGACATATTCCTTTGAGCCCTCCACAAAGCGCTGGTCGCCAGCTACAGCTGCCTGGACAGAGACAAAGGAGCCATACCTGACCTGCGGCGTCTCCGATTCATGAGGTTGTTCTGCAACAGAAACGGAGGACATTGTCTGCGGTGCAGCTGTTGGCAACTGAGCAGCTTGGGCTGAGTCTGACTGCTTTGATGCATCCTCGATGGCTGAAATCTTTTGGATTTCTTCCACCACATGCCGCCGGGATTCCAAGTTCTGGAGAAGAGACTCACAGTCTTCATCAGGCTCATTGTCCATGACACCAATGCCATCTCGCCAGCTCTTTGACAAATCAACTTCTCCATCAGCTAGGTCTTCCCCATCCAGCTGAGCATCCTCAAAGATTGGGTCAAAGTCTTCTCCATAACAATGTTCCGGTTCCCCCTCATCAGTCGACGATGAAAAATCAGCTCCTCGTTCCTTCAACAGCCTCATCCCTATCTTCTGCCACCACATCTGCAAATCCTTCTCAATGTCCCCACTTGTCCTGCTGTCGGAAATCCAGGACAAGAACTGGCAAGCATCTTTCAGCGCCCCCCCTGCCATTGCCTGAAGCTCCTCAGAAGTCAAGCTGCCTGCGAAACGGTTGTTTTCGAACTTGTCCCACATGGCCGATTGCCGATGCTGCTTGAGGTGGTCAAAGTGACAGCCATACAGGAAGTCCTTCAACGTGGCTGATCCACGAGTTCCTGCTTTCATGCGACCAAACATCCCCTCAATGGGAGACTCTTGCCGACTTTTCGGGCTCCATGGCAAATCCGAAGGCCAATGAGCAGCCGCAAGCACTAGGTGTCCAGCAAGGTCACACATGTTCCTCAGTGTCTGTATCGGAACAAAGTGCAATGGCCATTTCTTCCCATGTTGGCGACAAGCCTCTGACGCCTGGCCAAGGAGGACATAAAAGGCCATCAAAGCATTGGCAACACTCTCTTTGAAGCTGAATGCTTCACAGGCTGTCCATGCTGATGTCAGAAGTCCATTGATGAAGTGGGCGGGCGCACAGCCAAGTCCTCGCCAATCTCTTGGAATGTGCGCGGAGTTCATCTTCCTTGACATGTCAGCATCGCTCTGTATATCTTTGGCCGACAATGCACGCACGGACAGTCCACCAACAATCATGGGAGTGAGGTTGCAGATTGCAGATCCCATTGAAGCCATTCGTGTGCCACTTGACAGGTGGAAAGCATATCGCTTCATCACATGGTTGCAGTCATTACAGCCGCTGATGAAATACTTGCCCTGAAATTTTATGGCAGAATATGGCCACATTGGCAAGTCCAATGGAATCTTTCTGCAGTCGCTGAAGAAGGGAGCGTCTTTCATCATCCCAGACGGAAGAACTCCCAATAGGGCCGCATTGCACTGGTGGTTTCCCCCGCCGCCGTCAAAGGAAGCACAAATGGGGGGTATTCCCTGGTTCGCATCGGTCATGGACTTCAAGGCATACCCAAGCTCAAACAGTCCTCTCTTGGCGCCTGCCAGATGAACGCAGTTTGACATACTGCAAATAATTTGGCCATACATCAATTACAATTGGCAACGCGATGCAACATGCACAAAAATAAGAAAACAGGAAGCATGACCAAGCCCAGGTATTTATGGTGGTGTTTCATGGTGTTTCCATGCCTGCAGCTGGAGGTTCTCCGATCTTCGCTGGAGGTCGTGGAAGAAGGTCGATCAAATAGATGTGCTTGTTGGAGTCGGCCCGAGATACTGCAAAGTTGGCAGTAACTTTTGATAGTTTCTCT